AAAAAATCAGACGCTCATGATAGAGAGCGCTCAACTGCTCTCGCCGAGGCTCTCACGATGCGCGTGCGAGATTGTCTAACCACTCAGTTGATCTCAAAAACAATCACGATGCAGGTAATTGGCATCTTGCTTGATCAGAATGTGTCTCGCCCTGCCCCGGAGACTTCATGTGCACAACACTCGACGACTAGAGCAGAACTGTGTTTCCCCTCTCTGGTACAGCCTTTAGAACTCACGTGCGAGGACCAACAAATCAACTAGAACTCTTTAGGCTGTAAGTACTGGTTACTGCTGAATGTTTCTGCCGCTTCAGCTAACCAGGTGAGTACAGAACTGCCATTTGCTAAACCGGCATGACCAGCCGTGGTTATCACAAGCAGAAGGCATCTCCACAATGCGGATACTGTGACAAGACCTTCAAGTCAACACGGGGTTTCTTCCAACATGAGAACTCTTGTCGGGCTAAACGCGAGCATGAATGGCAAGATCAACAAGCCATACAGACGATCTTAGAGCATGAGCGAGAAAGTAGGAGAACAAAGAGAGGTGTGTAATTTGAATCTCATTTACTGGTCATATTCTGATGCTGCATAGCTCGCATTCAGCGTTCTTCACCACTGATGCTGCCTAATGAGCAGCCTGCATTCATCCAAGGCATGTACCATTCCAGGTCTTTTCTCCAGGTTATTATATACCTGAATGTCATATCTGGGTACATTAAATGCAGAAAATCAAGAAACAGCACAGGAAGCATCTCTGAATTCTCCATCATCTTTGCCTTCACTGGCATCTCATGCACCTTTCTCTCACCAGCCTGACTCACCTGCATTGCAACATTCCAGTCCGCTGCTGTCCAATGAGCAGCCGCTCATGGATGACATCAAGGTTGAGTATCATCCCAAGAGTGGACATGGCACAAAGATATTTCATTTCAATGACTATGTTTGTGAACGGCCTATAGTCAACTATGAGGACTCGGAGCCCTGGTGGCCATTTTTGTGCAGAGACGACTTCAAATTTGCAGATGCTATTCTGCGTGGCGGGATGAACCAAGAGCAGATCAAGATTGCCCTTGATATTATTAATTGTGTGGCACGAGGATGCTCTGACTTCTCACTCCGGTTGTATCGTGACCTCGAGCAAACTTGGGAGCAGGCTTCTGTGTGCTATTCTGGGGTGTGCTAACTTTATAAGTGGCATGATCTTTGATTTATGTTTATATTTATTCTGTATTCTAGTTCAAAAAGCACACTGTTTCCATTGACTACAAGAACGAAGAGCTCAAATATGATGTTCTTGTTCGAGACACTGAGCAACTGCTCAAATTACTGATCGAAGATCCAAAGCTTGGCCCAAAATTTCAGTGGAATGCTCGGCGCATGTCAAAATGGTTTGGAGAGAAATGGGAGTCATTTTGGGAGCCGGAGCGATGTACTAGATCATACGTGTGGGATGTTCAGGTGAGCACACTTGTGATAATTGAATCAGTGCAAGTAAATGAATAAATTGCAGTCTGAACTTCCTGAAGGTTCAAAGCCTTTAGGGATATATTTGTATGCAGATAAGAACAAGCTGTTCACATTTGGAACACAGAAAGGATATCCAGTTGTTATGCGGATTACCAACCTAGAAGCACAAGTTCGTCATGGATGTGGTCTTGGAGGTGGGCATATTGTAGGGTTTCTTCCTCTCGTAAGTTGCAATGACTTTGTTCTAAGTTAACCACCTGATAATTAAGGTAGATTGATGAGGATGCAGAGCACACAGGCAAAACTAGCTTTGCAAACCTCAAGCGCAAAGTTTGGCATGCTGCAGTTGGCAAAATTATTGAGCCACTGATGCCGTTGGCCAAGTTTGGCTAGACGATTCACTGTGGTGATGAAATCACACACTGCTTCCATTCTTTTGGAAATATATTTGCTGGAGACTATGAGGAGCAGCAAGCAGTTTAAGTTAATTTTGCATAAATTTCAGTACTTAAACTATTCAGGGCTTGCATGTGTCACATACGTGGCAATAATTGTCTTAAGCTATGTCCTGTAGGCAAGGTTTCACATGAAGAGCTGAAAATTTTAGAGAAGGAGTGGCCTGAGCGTGCTGTAGCTGAGGCACAAGAAGCACTCAGTCGCACTTTAGCAGGAGAGTGTGAACAAGCCTCAAAAGACCTTGGCTTACGTACACTCCGTGTTTGTTGCCAATCTTTTAATTTTCATTTTCAATCTAAAACATGCTTATTTTTAGAACATCACATGGGATTTTTCTCATACTGATTCCCACAAGGCCAGATCTTTTAACGAGCTTCACTACTGTAAAAGTGGTGTCTTTGGCTATCATTGTCTAAAGGAGTTAAAGGCTCAAATCAAAGTGCATGAAGCAAATGGTCAATCTTTCAATGTGCATCTTGACAATAGGTATAGTACTTCCATTTTTATATACGCACTATAGCTGGATAAAACATTATATCAATTATTGAGCATTAAACAAATTTCACACTGGCAAAACCTTACCATTTTGAGAATGGCTTCACACAGATCAATTTCACAGATGGGTCAAAATATGATAATCTTGCGAAGGTGGGCTTGATTATAAACTGCTGTATATATTAAGCTAACCTATATTGAATTATTATATTTGCATCATACAACACCTTCTCAAAATCAGAAAATCCACGAGAGTACACTCTTTTATGGCTTATTTGCAACTACACCAAGTGCAAAACTCTTGCTGGTCTTGAAGTCCATACGGAGTCCACTTTGCAAGCATTAGAAGATGTCATTTTGTCTTTTGGAGCTATACTTAATGTAAGAATCATTCTCCATCTTTGTATAAGTGCTAATAGCTAAAGAAGGAATATGACAAATACGGTGAAAATGATGCTCAATCCAAGGACTGGAATGTAATCAAGATTTACATCCAGAAGCATATCAAACGTGATGTGTGCCTTAAATATACCCTGTTGAGTATGACTACAAAGCAGTCTGAGAAGTTTCATGGCCCTATGCGGAAAAATTATCTAAACCGCACAAATTTCAAACATGTCATAGAGCAGGTATGTTCATTCTATTTAGAGAAGGTGGTACTATATTGAAAATAACAACAATATAGCTTGCAAAGTGGGATCACCGATTTTTCTGTGCGAACGCAATTCATGAAAGCATTGAAGCCTGGGATTTGCTTTTAGAAGAGCAGGCACAAAGCAGAGGAAAAGGCACAGAAAGAGAAAAATGAAGCAGAGGGAGGAAAGCCAGAAAAAGAGCAGGAAACCACACAATGGCATCAAATTTACCTTGAAGTTCCCTATCCATCAATCAGCTTTTCTGCTCTTGAACGTGCACACACCAATGATCCAGCATTTGACAGGTTCAGAATTCGGCTCAACAAGTTTCTGCATACTTTTCTGAATATCCCTGAAAACCGCATTGCCTCAGAATTAGAGAATGAGCCTGATAACTACATATACACCACACAGCTCACTGCTACAGACACGGTACGTGATCAAGTATCACTAGCTTAAATGTTGTTAAACAACCTAACTTTTTACACTGCAAGATCACTGAATGCTGGCTCCTTCAAGTTGACTATAAGTCAACGGTGACATGGGAGCTTATAGAAGACAAGCTGCGCTGCAGTCCAGACTTCCACGGTCACCTCCGATACGATACTATTATTTTCAGAGATGGACCAAACACATTCACCTTTGCATGGCTTGTCAGTATCTTTATTTGCCAGACAGATGGGCACCGGCCCCCGGTAGCACTTGTGCAGCCATTTGATGTTGGTATTGGTGGCTGACCCCATGTCGTTGATATGGACTTTGACCTTTACCACTTAAAGATGCAGCTGCGGAAAAATTGCCGCTTTATTCCACTTAGAGCAGTTGAACGTGGTGCATTATTGGTGCAGGACTCAGAGCACAGCGATGAGTACACGGTTGTAGATACCATGGATGCAGATATGTATCTCCAAATTTGCTGTATGTACCCTAATCATTTTACCTGATGTATACATAGTGCAGTCTTGTTATCTCTAGCTGTGCCTTTTTCATGCAAGCTTACTTCCAAGGGTTACATCAAACAACTCACAGCTCAGAACTTCTGACAGTGTTGATACTTGCCAAATTGGGTGAGGCACGATGTGGTCCCGCCTGTTATCTCACCTGCACACCCAAGCCCACACATTTGTGTCCTTCATAATGACAGTGCAATGGGCATTTCCACGGTGCGTGTTTCATGAAAGAAGCTTAACAATTGCACCCTGTCCAACATTCCTGCTGATGCCCTTTCAAATGTCCAGCGCCGGATGGCAGCGATCATGTCTGCTCCTGCTGGCACTGGCAACTGACTGTATCTACATCTCAGTATGCGATAGCTAGCCCCATTCACATGATCGTCGTGATGTCCAAAGAAGAAGTCTTGACTGACATTCAATATGATCAAGCTCGTCCCTTCATAGCTGAAGTTGTCAGACCTTTCGCATCTCTCCCAGAGGTCACGGCGCCCCGTCCTGGTGTTGGCCACCCTCCAAATTCAAGAATAAGGCTCTCGCCATCACCAACAAGTTTAGGGAGGTCTTTGGCTTGCCTCTCATTCACTCTGACCCTAGTCTCAACAATGTCCACAATGAGAGCGATGGAATTCTCATAACTCTGCCCTTCATAGGTACACCTATAGAGTGGGAGCGAAAGCTCGTACCAGTTTGCCCTGACAACTTCTGCAATAAGAACGACGGAACAACTGTACATGAGCATGAGTGCTCACCATTCTACTCATACGAGCTGGAAGGGAAGGACAAGGGAATGGGAACACCACCACCGGGTGCAGGAAATGTGGCATCGCAGCGTCATGACAGAATAGCAGATGACATGGAGATAGGAGTAGTGCTGGAGATCATGGTTACTGGTGATGACGGCGAAGTGGAGAAGGCGAAGACAAAAAGCCTGGAACCCAGATCT